TTTATAAATTGACTCTCTTACCCCTAATACAATATTGATCTTGGAAAGACTCTAGGGACTGGTTCTTAAAAACTTTATGATTACATCCATGAATTAACTGCTCATAGTTAATAAATAGGTGAGTGGTTGAACGTAAAGTGTATGTTGTGATCTTATCACTTTTAAAAGGCTGGATTTTTAACTAATATTGTGTATTTTTAACCAGTAGTTAGACTTTTCATACAATTGAGGCTTTATTAATTAAACAGTGAATTGTAATGGCTATTGAACTTGACTTGCAATATTAAGGCCATAATTATAGTAAGTGGGAGTAAGTGCTGTCAGAGTTATTGTGTAGGAAAGGAAATACCTATATATTGTGGGATAAAATTAATACATGCATAATAGCAAAAACGCAATTTAGCTAATATGCCATGAAGTGCTTAAAATGAAGAAAGACAAGTTGTTTTTCACAAAGTTTTGCCTTGTCAGTCTGACTTAAAGAGCCAGACAAGGTAAATACATCTGTGTCAACAAAGATAAGACAAGTATTTGTTAAATAAAAAGTATTTGTTCAGCAAACACATATACTTATTGCTATAAGGTATATAATTAAGTTTAGTTATATACAAAATAGTAATAAAATGTCATATATTCCTGGCTAATCCATAGCAGCATCAAGATAGGGTTAGCTTGCCCCCCTTGGCTGTTTAGGACGAGGAAATACTTTACAAATACTTACTTGGAATCGTTTTTTCCCTGTCCACTTGGCTGTGAACAAGGATTCAGGTAATTATATTACCTTTACATATTTTTTTGTTTTAGTTTACCTCTGCTCATGTTTCTTACCCAAGAAAGTTCAGCCTCTCTCTCTTGGAAGATCTAGGGCTTTTATATATATCAACAAACCCTAGAGATTCTCCTAGCCGCTGTGATCTTTGATGTAGCGGTACTATATGTGATATATACTCACCATTGAAGATATATCCGCAGTGATTTTATGGGTAGCGGAACTATAAGTGGTATATAATCACTGTGGCAAAATATATCTGCTGTGAACCTCTGGGTAGCGGATAATTATGTGTGACACATGCTATAATATTATCCTCTTTGCGCTGTGATCCTATGGGTAGAAAAGCATGGTGTATACACATTCTACTAAAATAAATCCGCTGTGATCCTCTGGATAGTGGTAATCTGCAGAGTACATATATATATATATATATATATATACACATTTGAAAGTATATTTTGACTGTTGTGATCCTCATTAATTATATAGTACCTGCAAATATATATGTAAGCATATAAGCCACTTGCCAGCTGTACATAGTGGAGTACCTGTATCTGGATTAATTCTTTTATGGGGAACCTTCTTGGGGCATTGCGGTTTACTCAGCTTTCTCTTAGTTTTCTTTCGGTTCTTTTCACGCCATTCCGCCATCTTGGTTGGCGTTCCCTTTTATGTACTCTGTTGTGGAGATTTGAATGGTTTTGTTCACGTTAATTTCCCATTCCATTATTATATTTTACAGTTTGGGAATTAATATCATTCGCGGCACGAAAGGTCCATTCATTTATTTGATCAAGAAAATTAATACTTTTATTCTATTTCCATTTCGGGACATTTTCTGTGGGAGGTCCTGTAAGCTTCAAGCTCCCTATTTAAATGGTCTTTTTCTCCCTTGTATTGGAGTTTGCTGGTTTTTGAGTGGGAAATTTGTTCTCATGCTCTGGCATCTACAGGTGTTAGTGCAGGTTAGTGGATTTCTTTTTAAAATGTATTAAATTTATAATTATTAATTTTTCCCCTCATTCATTGTTATTGTTTCTTTTATAAATCAGCTGCCCTTATGTCTGCATCCAGATCTTCAAGGGGATCCACTTCTAGGCACTCAAGGTAAACCAGCGTTTGCTTTTCATAAGGTAAAAGTGTGCAACTACAATGGTCATTTTCAAGTCTCTTTTCTTTTCCCTTCTTTCATTCAGTGTCTGGGAATTTGGCACATCTGAAAAGTCGGGAGGTGGCAAGAAAACCCATAAATCTGATAGATGTATAGTCTGGGACACAAAGGCTTTTGAAGGGGAGAAGTTATGTAATGTCTTTCTGAAGCAGCTGGTTATCCTAAGAATCCTTCTCATGATATTTTAAAATGGATTCAGATGGCAGTAGATAAGTCTATGAAACTGCATAAGTCTCGCAAACGCCCAAGACTCTCTTCTCAGAGAGACGGGGAAGATTCTGATTCTGATGTCTCATTTGCGGAGGTCCAATCTGAAAAAGGTGAAGCAATGTATTCCTCGGATGAATCAGATTCGGTAGAGGATCATATGGATATTAAAACTATAAAGAAACTGATTAAAGCTGCTTGATCCAAGGAGACATCTGACTGCTATTTTGGGTTTAGGAAATAATTTTTTCCTAGTTTGTAAAATTGGAAGCCCTTCAGACTAGGTTTTGCCTTCTTTTGGATCAACAGCAAAAACACGTGTGAGGAAGGTTGAACTTGATGGACGCAAGTCTCTTTTCAGCTATGTAACTACTGTATGTAGCTATATGTAAAGCTGTCAGGTATACTCTAAAAGCTAGAGGATATGGCTCAGTCTAAGCCATCCTCTTCTAATATTATTCCAGAGTTGATTAAAAAGAGACCTTCCTTTCCTGTTCATGAAGCCCTTAAGGACTTGTTTGAGAATGAATGGAAAAAAAAACAAAAGAAGGTTTCAGTTCAAGTAAAGATCTCTAAACTGTATCCCTTCACTGAAGAGGATTCTGCAGCTTGGAATAATGCCCTCAAGATTCATTAGACTGGGGAAAAATACATCTCTACCTTCAGATGAGGTAGCCTCCTTTAAGGATGCCTTGGACAAAAGGATTGATAACAACCTGTGTAAAAATGACATTTCAGCAGGAGTGGCTTGCAGACCTGCAGTAGCCATGCCCTCAGTGGCAAAAGCCCTCATGAAACGATTATGCCTTTTTGAGGAAGACAAAGAGAAGGTAGTAGGTAGACCTTCCCAGCTTCAATCTTTGTCTGAGCTCAAATGGGCGGCTGATTTTTTCTCCTTCGCCTCTCTTGACTTGTGTCAGGATTACAGAATGATCCAGCACGTAGAATTGTGTAACACAGAGGACTGATAGGTAACGTATACCAGACCTTAGAATGGCCAGACTAACGTACCAAAGAATAGTCAGGAATAGCCAAGGTCAAGGTATACAAAAAGAGACACAACAATAAGGAAAAGCCAGGAGTCAGGGATGCCAGAAAACAGGGAAGTCAAAATCAATGCCAAAGTCAAATAACCAGAATAACCAGAATCAATAACGCGCTCTTGGACAACCACAAGGGAAACCACGACAGGGCACTTAGCAGGATGAGAACTGGGCCTAAATACCCCTCCTCTAGATTTGATAGGCTGTAACTGGCCTTTGACCCCAAAGCAGTTACCAAGTTTTCCATTTGCATAATTGCTGCTCAGCATTAACCCTTCTGTGGATTAGGTTGCAGCTCAGCACAACTTTTCCTGTGTGGACAGTAAATGTCATTAACCACATTTTTATAAGCAGATGAATACGTGACAACTTGGTCAGAACTCTTGCCAGAAACATGGCTTTATCGGTGACAGGGTGCAGAGCGCTATGGCTGAAATCCTGGAATGCTTATTTATTCTCTAAGAATAGCTTATGTGGTATCCCATTTCAGGGACATTTATTGTTTGGCAAACAATTGGAGGAAGCCATTAAATGTGCTGCAGAAGGCAAGTTACCCTTTCAGTTTTGAAAGGTTAAGAAGGACTCCCAGAATTGGCAAGACAGAAGATACTTTCGTGACAGACCTTCCTTTCATGATTAAAGGTCATATAAACCAGGAAGAGAATTTGCTATAGGATCAGCTTGGAGAAGAGGCCAGTCTGAAAGAGGTAACAGAAGTAAACCTCAGCTGGTTCTAGAGCAGCAAATAGGCCCTTTTGAAGATTTGGGCCCCCAGGCCCTTTTGAAGATTTGGGCCCCCAGATCTCAAGGTCCCATCTCATTTGGGAGACCTCGGCACAAGCAGGTCTGAATCCTTGGGTAGTTTCTATTCTCAAAAACGGGTACAGGCTGGAATTCCGAGAATTTCCCTGTCACAATTTTTTTATGGTATCAAAAACTCCAGGTATTCCAGCGTAAAGGCAAGCCCTTATAAAAGACTTATCCAATCTTCTTCAAGAAGGAGTAATCTTTTCAAGAAGGGTTCCTCGGCCAGAAAAATTTCAAGGAATCTGTGACGGACTGCCTGGCACCCCGACCAGGTACCTCCATCTATCGCTGCTTTCTAGTACTTGCGAGTTCCATAATCACTGCACTGAAACACCATAACCACCTTAAATCCCACAAACCACCGCAGCTTGGTTAGGGTCTCACCGCCCTCCACTCACCCTGGACCCAAGACCAGGATCCAGCTCGCAGTGGGTAGACCTCTCGTAGTCCAGAGAGCATAGCAGGAACAGCTCTTAGAAGAGATAGTGATTATACTCAGGGGAGTATGATATAGCAATCCACAGAGTGTATGTAGTTCTCCAATCCCCCCAAAAATGAGCCAAGACTTCATGAAGGGGTAAAGCATTATTTTTAATGGAAGCCACAGCTGCCCTTTAATGCAAGTCCCCAAGCAAGGTGTACGCCCACATGGACCTTGTTGGGGACAGGGACACAAAGCTTACAAACCAATCAGAACAGTGATTAAATGTATTACACTCCATAACAAACATACAATCCCTCCCCTCTGTCTGTGAGATAATTGAGTCAGATACTGTATTATCTCCAGGCAGAAAAAACACATATTTTACAAAACCCCAAAAGTACCCCAAAACACAACATATCCCCATAAATAGTACATCCCCTGATAGCCCTGATCTGGGTGAACAACATATCCCAAAAAAATCCAGATCAGTTCAGAGGTTCAGGAATTTCATGGAAGTCTTATTTTTGACCGACCGTGCACATGGTCCCATGCCCAAAACAGTTCCAGAGAATTAGTGCTAACGGTTGGTCTCTCTGTCTGGAGTACAAAAGTACATACTTTACATGAACAGAGCATTTTAAAGTGTATTGGGCAAGGTATATTGCAGGGCCCATAGTCCTGAGGCAAGAGGCTGGCCAGCATGCCCCTCCAAGAACCAGTGACGATGTTACTTTCATCACAGCATTTATTCAAATCTATTCCTGGAACCAAAATCCTCAGGAGATTGGCATCCAATCCTGGATTTACACAACCTGCATCTATCTCTCAATGTCCAGAGATTTAGGATGGAGTCTTTGACATCCATAATCTCAGTAAATCTCAGTAGATTTAAAAGAAGCCTATTTCCACAACCCGATAGCAAAACATCATCAAAGATTCCTGAGGTTTGCCATTCTAGGAGACCATTTTCAGTTCAGAGCTATTCCCTTTGGCATAAGTACAGCACCAATGACTTTCTCAAGGTTCTTTTAGCTCTGAAAGCTCAGATGAGACTGCAAGGCCTCAATAGTTATCATTATCTAGACAATATTCTTCTAGTAGGAGAAACTAGAGACAACCTTATAGTGCAAAGAGACAAAACAATAAGGACATTGGAAGACTTTGGATGGATTATCAAATACCAAAAAAGTCAGCTGTCTCATACCCAGATTATATGCTTTTTAGGAGCATTGTTCGACACAAGATTAGGGATGTTTTTTCTTTCAAAAGAAAGAAGAAATCATATCATAACAAGGGTCCAAAAGGTAATCGACTCGAAATGGGTTTCAGCGAAAAGGTTTCATGACCATGCTGGTCAATTTTTCTTCGACCATTGGCCTGGTCAAATGGGCTCAGCGGCATCTTTGCTATCCCCAGATTGTAACGGATCGTCTGGCAGCCCGACTGGGTACCTCCATTGAAGGATGCTCCTAGCGCTTCCTGAGGACTCCAAGCACTCTGGCAGACACCACAATCACCGAACCGGAGAAACAAATAAATTCTCCCATGCATATGAATGCTGTAGACAGTTGAATAGGAACCATACAAATAGGTTTACTCTCCTAGCAGTCAAACTGGAACAGCATACAATAAATCACTTTGAGGGTTAAAACAGGAACTCCTGTGCTGGCACACCCAGCCTGGTTTTTATTACAGCCTTTCACATACAGGACCGCCCACGGGGAGGTATAAAACAACCAATCACATATCAGTTACATCCCACATATTCCCTCCCCTTATCCTGAGAGGAAACTCAATTACACATACAGTTAAAACATACTTTCTACCCAAATTTCATAACTTTAAAACCATACATCACATTCACATAAAATTACATATTCACAATCAATCCATTCAGGGGAACAACATATTAAAAAATGGCATGAATCCGACTAGGGGTTCAAAAGTAGTAAAAGTATCTTTTGGGCCCTGGCTGGCCCATGGCTATCTGGCTCAAACAGGTTTTACAGAGCCCTCTATCCTGGAGACAATGGGGGAAAGTAATCCAATTATCCAGGGATAGAGGCAGACTCCATTGAGCACATGGTTGCAAAAAGACATAAAACACTTTAAAATACATAAAGTCACCTTTTACACATAACACACAGACATTTCACATATCCCCAGATAGCTGGGATCTGAGCACACAAAACTACCGAAGAGCGCTCAGACATCCTATTCACACAGTTCAATTGCCATGGAGCCGAAGTCTTTAACTACACGAATGGGCTCCATGGCATAGCTATCTGGGTTAACACATTCACATAAAGTCAGGTCCATAGTCCAAAGGCAAGAGGCGGGCAAGCAGCCCCCTCCATGGACACGTGGCGAGGCCGGTTTCACCACACAGATGTATTTTTTGAGAAGATTCAACCAGAACAGGGACAAGTGGTCCAACAAGATTCTCATTACAGACAAGCTTCTGAGGATCTTGAACTGGTGGCAGGACCCTGCAAATCTCTACCAAGGTTATCCTCTGGTGGAAGTAGAATGGATAACCTTGACAACAGATGCCAGTGGTCTAGGTTGGGGTGCTCATCTTCTGCAATGGAATGCCCAAGGCAAATGGTAAAAAGAAAAAAGCCTCTCTCGTTCCAGCCAACCTTCTAGAGCTATGAGCAGTTTTCTTGGGTCTGATTCACTTTGAAAACATTTTAACAGGGAAATCGGTGAAAATTTGCAGAGACAATCGAACAGCGGTACTTTGCATAAACAGGCAGGGTGATACCAGAAGCAAGGATCTTCTTCAGGAACTGGAACCCATTATGTTGTGGGCTCAGAAGATAGTGTTGGGACTGTCTGCAATTTACATTCCAGGACCAGAAAACTTGAGAGCAGACTTCATCAGCAGGTATAATCTAGATCCCAAGGGATGGCACTTGAATCCCAAGATCTTCCAATAACTAGTTTTGCGTTAGGGAACTCCGTAGGTGGATCACATGGCAACAGCATCAAACTCCCAACTTCCGATATTCTTCTCCAGGACGTTTCACCCAATGCATTGGCCATAGACACCCTGTCCAACAATTGGCTCTCAAGCTAGCCTGTGTCTTTACCGCATTTCCTCTCATAGGGAAGACCTTATAGAGGATCAAGATGGAAGGTCTCTTGGTGTTGGCGATAATTCCGTGTTGGCCTCGCAGGCCATGGTTCCTACTCCCTGGTCCCTGTCAATTGCCCAGCCACGGAAGTTACTGGACATTCGAACCTTCTATTTCAGGGACCAGTGGTTCACCCATCTCAGAAGACACTCCATTTGATGGCATGGAAACTGATAGGATGAATCTAGCTAACAGGGGTTTTTCTCAAGCAGTGATCAGCACCTATAGCAGTCCAAGAGAAGATCAACTTCCTCTACTTATTATCACATATGGATGGTGTTTGCTGACTGGGCTAAAGATAACAATGTCTCTTGTCTTCCTCTTATGGTCTCCAATATTTTCTGCAGACTGGTCAGGATAAAGGGCTATGCCTAAGTTTCCTACACGTGCAAGTTTCAGCCTTATCTTCCCTTACCGGTTCCAGGTGGGCTTTGGATAGCATGGTGGCCCGTTTTCTAACAGTAGTTAAGAATGTGAAGCCTTCTATTAGGTCCCTGACTCCTCACTGGGACCTTCCTTTAGTTTTAAAGGCATTGTCTCTTCCTCCTTTTGAACCTCTAACGGATTCCACGGATCGCCTGATTACTTTTAAAGTTTTCCTTCTTGTTGCAATTATGTCAGGCAGGAAGATTTCTGAAATTCAGGTCTTATCTTCAGAAGAATCCTGTATAGTATTCTATCCTAATCAAGTAATCCTATGGACAGTTCCATAATTCTGTCCTAAAGTGATGTCTGAGTTTCATTTTAATGAGGAAATAGTTCTTCCATCCTTTTTTCAGTGTCCATCGAATCCAGAGGAAGAGAGATGGCATACTTTAGATATCTCCAGGTGTCTTTCTATCTATCTGGATAAGACGGCTAGTTGGAAAAAGTCATCAAGGCTCTTCCTAAACTTTACTGGGCATAGAGGCTTTGTTGTATTCAAACCTACTTTAAGCCGTTGGATAATTGTGGCCATCTCTTCCACATATCAGGCCCAGGAGGCACAGGTCTCTTCAGGTTTAAGGGCTCATTCTATGAGGTCTCTATCTACATCATGGGCAGCTGCATCTAACACGCCTATTGAGAGCATTTGCAGAGCAGCTACATGGGCCTCGACTAACACCTAACAGCTATAAAGCATTATGCTATAGATGTAAGATCTCGGAAAGCTATGGAGTTTGGAAGGAATGTCCTTTCCTCAGTTTCATAAACTTCTTTAATTCAGGATAATCAAGAATATTTTCTAGAGCATTATACTTTTGTCTTTGGTTTTGATTTCCCTACCCTAATTTGAGCGTGGATATTACCCTATTGTGATGCTGCCATGGATTAGCCAGGAATTCCGAAAATTTCTCCATACTTACCGTAATTTTCTTTTCCTGAATATATCGAAGGCAGCATCAAATTTTTTCCCTCCCCATTGTTTAGATCCTTCGCGCATGTTACAAGATGGATGATTCCAAGTAAAAAGGGTGTATTTGTAAAGTATGTCCTGGCCTAAAAAGCCAAGGGGGAGGAGCTAACCCTATCGTGATGCTGCCATGGATATATCCAGCAAAATAAAATTACGGTAAGTATTGAGACATTTTCTGAATTCTTAGTTAGCAACATATACATATATAGAAACATATATATATATATATATATATATATATATACACACACATATAAATATGTAATTACCCATACATAGATTAAGTATGACAACTTAAAATCTTGAAATAGTATAACGCTTAGGTAAGCAAAGACACATTGGTTTGAACAGCCAAAGTCCAAATTGCATAGAAGAAAAATGCTGACTAAATAGTCTTAAAAAAAAAAAATCATATTTGCCCTGAACAAGAGTTAAAACTACATTTTATAATAGCTGGTAATATTCCTGACGTAAGCCAACAGCTCCACCTGCTGTTTGAAACACATATAAATATATGTCAAAATGATGTCATTAACATAAGAGTTGCCCCGAGATTTCCATTAGACCAGGTCAGAAGGTTAACAGGTGAGGAATGTCATATAACCCCATGACATAGGGATATCTAAAAAAAATAAGAAGAAAATGAGATAGGAGGAAGACTCAGATGATCTCTTGATATCTCTTGACATCTGACAATCTAGTAGACATCTTGAAACAATCTTGAAAATAACACCTGAAGAACTGCTTTCTTACTCTTTGCTCATATGCAAACCTAACCTATCTCTACCAGGGAAAAGTTCTTAGAATTTCTATCAATATTCTTGAAAGCACTTCCAACTCCAGAACTTTTAACGGTCATTCACTAACTCTGGATCAATCTGCTCCAGAGACATCCAAAACATCTATCGGTAAATATAAGCCAATTATATTAATTCTAAAAATTACATAAATAAAAGTTAGCATTTCTCTGGGTAAAAGCTGGTCGGAATCAAGACTTGGGTTTCATGATAACTCATGATTAAACATTTGTATCTCAAAAAGCAGACTGGGAGGCAAATTAATATCATGAAATAAAGATAGAATATCAAGAGTTGCCCATATTAATATTAATCAGATAACAGACGAAAAATATTTATCAGATAAGAATTGTTTTAACTAAACCCGCAAGAATTTAGTTACTGGATTAATTAATTAATCATAATTAATTACTCTGTGAAACAGCAGTGAACTAGTTAAAATCCTGAATGAGTTAAAAGCTTAAA